GAGTGTGTGTGTGAGGGTGGTGGTGTGTGAGTGTGTGTGTGTGAGTGTGTGTGTGTATGTGTGAGTGTGTGTGAGTGTGTGCGTGTGAGTGTGTGTGTGTGTGTGAGAGCTCAACATTATCATAATAATAATCCTCATACATGTTATACTGTAAAGTGTGGTGACTGTGGATAATTCGCCCACAAAATTACAGTATATTCTGTGAAGCACTTTGAGATGTCTCGAAGACGTGATACGGCACCATATCAAATGCAAGAATTATTATTATTATTATTATATTGCAGTCAATTTGCGCACAACTATGTCTCGGACACCAGTAGAAAATTCCTTCTCTTTTCAAATAGTGTCATGGGATCCTTAACGTAGACCGGAACAGGCAGATAGGACCTCAGTTTGATATCTTGTCCAAAAATGGTACCTCTAACAATGAAGCACTGAATTGTAATGTTGATCTTGATCTAGAATATGAGTTCAAAGTCCTCTTGAGGTGCTTGAATTCCCAACTTTCTGACTCAGAAGGATAGTGCTACCAATTCAGCAAGTATGACATACTATTGCTGGTTAATAATAATAATAATCCTTACATTCGATATAGAGCCTTATTGTGTCTTCGAGATATCTCAATGCGCTTCACAGAATATATTGCAAAGTGAATTTGTATATTTGTGGGCGAAACGCAGCAGCCAATTGTGCACAACAACTTGCATTTATATAGCGCCCTCCACCAGGATAGCATCTCAGAGCACTTAACAGTGGAAGAGCTCGACTCCAAGCCATGGATACCAGGTTCAGTGGTTAAATTTACAGCAATTCGCTGTTTTAAAACAATCGTTGCTTTACAAGTCAATTGTACAGGCAAAGGACGCAACACTTGACCATACATAGGGCTACCAGACACGCCAGAAAAGTCCAAATATTCACCTGTTAAGGGAGGAAGCGGTTGGTTGTCGAAATTAAGCAGGGTGGCTGTGAAGCCTGAATCTACCAAAATAGCATGGATGGTCCCGCACACCTTCATGGATATAAACGGCCTCGGTCCCTCGTATTTCTTAAAGGGGACACACAACCGATTGCTCACTTGGCCGGCATCAGGATATGGGACCGAAACACGTCATTGAGGGCATGGTCGGTTCCCCTCGACTATAGCCGAGACAGAGCCACCTCCACAGCCCTGATTATGGCCTAGCTGAGTCAAGATTTCTTGGGTTAATGAACGGGTTAACTTTTGCTCCAGGTTCCTCTCCCATTGCTCATAGTTTTGCTGCTCTTGATCAGATCTGGGGTCAGCATAAAAGCTCTGCTCTCTCTGTGCGCGGGGTCTGCGCCCTGTTGGACAGTCCGGAGCCCAATGGCCCCGTTTACCACAGGCATAGCATATATCCCTTGATCTATCACGGGGTCCCTGACTTCAGGGCTGCCCTCGGCTCGCACCATTATTCAGTGGTCTCCATGGCTCTCGCCCCTTTTCACTATTAATAGTTTTCTGAATAGCCCCGTGACACCTCATGGCTTCTGCTATCAGTTGATCAAAAAGGGAGGCGGGATCTATGCCTAACCCCACAGCAGCAGAGGTATTCTTATTCAATTTCCCTAACCAGCATTTTTTATAATTAACAGAATTCTCGCATTGTTGCCGATTCATGGCATTCTCCTGATTAGCCGAATATAGCTGCCACAATCTGAGATGAAAAGCCAGGGGACTTTCATTTGCCCCCTGCTTACATGAGGTCAAATCTTCAAGGGGGTTGGAGTGGGCAGCCAGCGCTCGCCTCACCTCTGCCTGAAAATTGGCCGGGGTAACGACTCCACCTGGGATCGTACGAGGGTCTAAAGCCCCTCGGAGATCCGAGCTTAACATTGCCTTAAGTGTCCTAGCGTAGTCGGCGGGAGTTAAGTCAGCGTTATCCTCTTTCCAAGTATCCCATTTCATTATCCAGGTTGCCATGGGGTTCCTTGAGTTAATTTGGGCCCCAGCTGAGAACAATATGCTACCACGTCTCCCGGGCTCAGGGAGGTGACAATTTTGTCCCGGCCCCCAGCATTCCCATTCGCATTGGTACGCCGTGAAGTGCTGACCGGACAAACACGACCCTTTATTACGGGTGGCTCTGACCCTTCATCCTCATTGTACTGCACTGCCTCTTCATCCAACTCTCCCCAATCTACATTATTATCGTCGGCATCCTGACAAACCCCATTTATCACAGGCTTAATGTCACATACCGCCGCTACTAACGCTTGTCTCCATTCGTTACCTTCCTTCTCTCTCTCTTTTCTCTTCCTAAACTCTTCTAACTCCGCTCGCTCCTGCCTACCTATTTCTTGGTAGCACAGGG